ACACACACACACACACACACACACACACACACACACACAGCTTTCTTTGGCAGTCACTGTTTTTGATCACTACAAGATCTAACTGCAGTCCCTGCTTTCACCCAAGATGTAGCATTTCCACCCTGAGCTGGCAGGTGCCTGGGACCTGAGCTAACATGACCCACCCCAGTAGCACCAACAGCCACCTGAGGAACAGGAAGCTCCCCTCTCCCCGCCACACTGGATTTTAGAAAGCCAGTCCTCCGCCAGTAGGCTTTGAGAGTGAGATAAAGCAGCCAGCACCCAGGATGCTCCTCTATCTATCCGGGAGTGGGGGAGGGGAGTAAGCATGGGCCTCACTCAGCAGCCCTGGGCCTATGTTTATGGACTGATGATGGTGGTGACAGAAAAGAGGCTGCTGTGCCACACTGACAGTGTCAAGGTCATTCCTGTCCACCGACACTTTATTAACCCTCAGGAAACCCCAAGCATTGGTAACCACAGCCCCACATCGGGATTCTTTCCCCCACTGTGGCTGGGGAGCAGCCGAGACTGGCCCCCAGCCACCTCAGAAGCAAACAGTGCAGGAGCCAGTGCTGAGAGCAAACTGCCTGGCTCCAGGCAGTAGGAAACAGGCAGGCCCAGAACATTCACATCTGCAGAGGGCAGGGCTGCACTAGGCTGGGTGAGAATGTTCTTGGGATACCTGCCAGGGCATGTGCTGGGCATAAGGCTGCCTCAGGCAGGGCTGAGAGGTTCTTACGGTTACACAGGTACCCACCTATATCTACACCTAAGTCTCACAAAGAAGGAGCAAATGGTCCTCATGGTGAAAGTGTCAGGCTGCCCAGGAGGTGGCATCTAACACATGACCCCTGACACTTCCAGAAGCTTCTCAGAGCCCATGAGCCAAGCTCTCATATCTGAAGGCTCTTGGTCCCAGCCAAGTGGGAGTCTACAGACCCTCTTTCTCTGAGAAGCCTAGGGGTCCCCACATGATCTAGAACCTTCCATACCTCTGTCGCCTCCCCCACACTTTCCTTTTCCCTGACACCTGAAGCTCCAGCCACCCCCAGTCATGTCCATGGACTATTCAAACTCTATCTGCTCTCTCCTAGCATTTGTCCATGCAATGGCCTGCATTTCATCCCCTATTCCTCCTTCTATCTGCAACACTTAACCTGCCCTTTACCACACACTGAAAGTCTCTCCTGTCATAATACCTATCCCTGAGGTAACAAGCAAGAAATGCCTCTTGCTCATCATCAAATGCTCATGCTCAGCCCTGACCCTGTGCCTCACTGTGCTGCTAAACTGGAAGGAAGTGGAAACGCTGGAGGTCAAGAGCATTTGTACATACCTGGCTTGCTGCCACTCTAGCAGGTGGAGGAGCCAGAGCCACTCGGGCACTTGGTAGGTAGAAAAGGGACAGAGATAGCCCCATGGTAGCTTTTCTTTAAGGCACCTGACTCCAAAGGATGCAAAACCACCAACTCCCAAGTCCTGAGGTCCTAACAGGTTCTTCCCTCCATGATGAATCTAACACATCTCCTTCCCTAAAGCAGCCTGTGCTCAACTGCTCTGAGTCATTAGCAGGCTATATACCCTTCACCCAAGGAAGAAGATGAATGACGTGGCCCTGGAGAGGTACCAGGCTGTCAGCAGCACGAGGGCACACATCATCTACACATCATGCTCCTCCTGCCCTCAGGGCCACCTTAGCCAGGAGCCCTGATGCTCACCGTCACAGGGCCCTGGCCCCAGACCAGCAGGGTTACCCAGTGAGTGGCTTAAGCACTGGCTGTCACGAACCTTTCTCACATTGTAGAAGTCTCGGTGAGGGTTACTTTTCAACTCTTTGAACTCAGACATTTCATTTAACATCTCATGAAGGCTGAACTTGGATTCTAGAAAGTTCAATCGCCGGTGACAATAGGTTTTCCTGCAGAATGGGGAGAGAGAAACAGTTGAGACATTCCATCAAACTCTGTTTGGAGACCTTCAGGGTGGGTAAGCGTCCAGCTTTCCATGGAACCAGCTGAGCTGGCCAGCATTTCATTGTCATCAGAATGTGAGTAGGGAGTCAGCCATGGAGTTGACTTGTAGCTCTGTGTATTTAGGCAAATGCTCATGAGCTTCCACTCACATTAACAACTACCTGATGAATAAATACGAAGAAGGCAACAACGCTGGGCACTAGTGGCTCATGCCTGTAATCCTAGCTACTCAGGAGGTTGAGATCTGGGGATCAAGGTTCAAAGCCAGCCCAAGCAGAAAACTCTGAGACACATCTCCAATTAACTAGCAAAATGCCAAAAGTAAAGCTGTAGCTTAAGTGGTAGTAATAGAATACCAGCCTAGAGCCAAAAATCCAAGTAAAAGAACAAGGTCCTGAGTTCAAGCCCAGTATCAGCAGAAAGAAAGAAAGAGGGGGCAGGGAAGAAGGAAGGGAGAGAGAGAGGGAAGGAGGAAAACAAGAAGGGAGAGGGAGAAAGAGAGGAGAGGGAAAGGAAGGAAAGGAAAGAAAGAATAAATGAACACACACACACAACCATACCCCAGGCTAACTTGGTGTGGGCCTGTGAAAGGGCCTGACTCTTAGCAGAGTGGGACCTTGTTAGGTCTCCCTCCTCTATCCACTCCCTTTTTTCCCCCACCTATCCTCAGGGACCTTGAATCCCTTAAAGAAGGAATTAATTTCTCAGAATCTCAACACTACGATCAAACTATAAGGCACACTCGCCTCCCTGGGGATACCACCATCCCAAGGCTAAATTTCCCCAATCCCAAGGTCCTTTCAACACTAAGGCTTCAGGGAAAGAGGAGAATATTCTGAATCAGGGACAGATTAGGAGTGTAGTGTGTTGGGCACTGAGACAGAAATCTCTGTGCAGTTCAAGCCTCTAGGCTCCTACCTCCTGGGAAAAGGCACCTACAAGTAGATAAGTTTTCTTACCCAGCAAAGGTAGGGGGCTCACTGTTGTGGCTACAGCTTCACAACCCAGGTGTTCAGCCTTATGTCTGAGTCTACCACCACCACCATGGAACTGATCAAGCAACCAGCAGCTGCTTCCCCATCCAGTCACTTAGGCCTTCCTATAGAACAACCACCAACCCACAATAGTGCCATGTCTGTAGGCTGAGCCAGGCCCCAGGACTTTGTGTTCCTGACAACCACTTCCCACTTGCCTGGCTGAGGAGGGTCTCCCAGAAACCACCCCTTCCCCTTCGAGTTCTTAGTTCTGCCCTCAGATCAGTGCAGACTAAGAGCCACACTGCCTGCCCACTTTAGACCCAATCAACCCCTGCAGACCAGCATCACGCTATTCCCAGAAAAATCCAAAAGTCAGGAGCATGAAAGGAAGAAGGTCCACAATGTGACAGTGCTCTCCCTTCCCAGACTCCCTACACACACACCTGGCACAGCCACCCCCAAAGCCACCAGGGCACAGATGATCCCTGAACCTCCATCACTGATTGGCTCAAGAGCCCACCCAAAAGTGAGCAGTCAAATGCAGCTGCCCACCAGGACGGCTCAAGCCCTCAGCTCCTGTATATGGCCCTCCAGAAACAGAGAACTCAAGACCTGAAGCAAGAGTCCTCATCTATACCCACTCTGCCTCATTCAGCCTTGCCACCAGCTGACAGCTCTCTGAGAGGCTGTTAGCTTGCTGGGGCCGGGAGTGGCAGCCACTTTAAAATACACAAGTGGCCACCAGCAGACAGAAGCTCCACATTTATGCATGCAGAAGGGACAGGCAGTAACAACTCCAAGAATACACCAGCCCATGAGGGAGCCTGCTGCTATATAGCAGCCACGTAACGGCAGGGGAGGTGGGGAAAGCTGGCTTACGTGGGGCCATCTGTGATGAGCGCCAGGATGTGGCTCATGTCCACAGTGTAGGTCTCCAGGTCGGGGTAGGGGAGGCTGTGGGGCTCCTGGCGCTCCAGCATCTTCTCATTGTCATACACAAAGAGGATGCCCTCCTGCATTCGGACCAGGTAGCCCAAGTTGGGGGGTGCACCCTCCAGGCAGTAAGGGTCTTCCTGGGGCTGAGGTGGAGGGTGGAAGTCTGCAAAACAGGACAGAATGAGAACCAGGCATCCGTGACCTTGTGAGCTTCCCAAAGCTCAAAAGCAAGTCCTACCCTGCTATCTAAAGTCCAGTCTCCTCCTCTGTCCTGCTCTATTCCGTCTTCTTAGCACTTAGCACTGTTAAAACAACATGTGTCCTACCTTGGGAATTACAAGTCTTCTCTACTCAGCATGGAGGTGAATTTGTGTTCACTTCTGGGCCCCATGACCCAGAACACTCCTGAACACAAGGCTGCCACTTTTAATATATATATATATATATATATATATATATATATATATATATATATATTTATTTATTTTCTGTCAGTCATGGGGCCTGAACTCTGGGCCTGGGCACTGTCCCTCAGCTCTTCAGCTCAAGGCTAGCACTCTACCACTTGAGCCACATGACTACTTCCAGCTTTTCCTGCTTATGTGGTGCTGAGGAATCGAACCCAGGGCCTCATGCATGCATGGCAAGCACTCTACCACTGAGCCACCTTCCCAGCCCACTTTTTTTTTTAAGTTTAACTGAGATAGGTTTCAGCTTCCTTTGCTCTTTAGAGATCCCCGGGAATGTTCAAGAGAGTGGCTGTGTCTTCTCTCAGTAAGAGAATAGCAGTTGCAGGGATTTCTCATTGTCCTCATTTGCATGACTTAAGACTGTGCTGCCCCCAGCCTGTTTGTAGGCTAAATAGACACCCGACCCCCTCCACAGCTGCCCTGCCTCCTCCTGCCCCCCCCTCCTTGAAGCCAGCAGCATACATGCAGCCACCATCTATTGAACATGTGCTCATAAGGTGCCACAGTTGCACCAGTACACCGAACACCCATTCACTCTCACAACAGCACAGGTGGTAGGCATCATTACTAGCCCACATTAAACTGAAATATCTTGTTTAAGGTCCAAATAATTGGCAGAGCCTAACTATGAATGCAGGTATGTCTGACCCTGGGAAACAAGTACCTGTTCCCATTTGACCCATCTTCCCCACTATACAGCATTTCCGGTTGGACTGCATTGTTTTAAACTTCCCTCAGGACACTGCCAACCTCCCTGGCAGACTCCATAGAGGGACTGTCCTTCACCCCTCCCTCTCCACACAGGGCCAAGCACACTGGACACAGAAAACCAGTCCTGTGAGAGGGACAGCAAACATCCATGTAGCAGAAGCCAACACCAAAGCCTCAACCTAAAAATGCCCCTGGGGAAAGCAGCTAACAAAACATCCTAGTCAACCACTGGGCAGGAACCACAAAGGATCCCACCTCCAGCCAGGATTCCATACCTGGGAGGACTTCTTCTGGGAGGGCAGGGTCAGCTCGCCGATGACCCAGGTACTGGGCTGTGGTCCTGGGGAAGCGATGGTAAGCAAGGCGTGCATACTTCTCCCGGATCACCAGGGCCTTGGCCAGGCTCTTGGCCGCCTGCTCATAGTCCTCCACAGTAATCTGCAGCAGGGGGCATGCAGGAGAGAGTTCACACACACAGCAAACCAGAAACTGCTTTCCTTTTTGAAAGATTGGCCTTGGCCGACACCCGGTAACCTGGATTTCAGGAGAGAGTTCTCACCATTCCCTAACCAATGAGAGTATAAACTGTCCAGACAGTATTGTTTGCTCTAGACATATGATGTCCTACAGATGGAATTTGAGGTTGCACAGTTATATGAGCAGACCAAATAAAAATCCTTGGGTGCTGAGGGTCTAATGAGCATCATTTGACACTTCACATGGGCCACACCACTGGATGCGTGCTGAGAATGGCAGATTCTGGTGAATCCACTGAGAGGCCCCTCCAAAGCTTGGCTCCTTCCTCTGGACATCACAGCTGGGGCACAGCTGGATGCTGAATCCTGGGAGTCTTTCTAGCAAGTCACTGAATCTGAAGGTGGTCTTGGGGAACCCCATATAGAGACACAGGGAATTAAGGCTGCTGGGAGGAGGCAGGCCCCACAGGCTTCTGGTTAACATGAAGGCCTGCTGCTGCACCCAGCACAGGAAAAGACAAAAACCGGGACCCCATCCCTGCTGAGGATGTGAACACTAACTTTCACACGAGAAAATCCAGAGCAAGCCATATTCATTCTTTTCATTGTTTGTTTCAGAGATCTCAAGTTATAAGTAAGTCATCACAGATAAATTCCTGCAGATGAGAAGAAGTTGGCATATGTCTCTCCTCCTTATGCACGTTGACCAGGGTCTCTTTTGGTCACGTGTCCCTCCCAGGAGTGTGCTCATTTGTACCTTCCAGAGGATGGCTTCTGAGCAGACACAAATATCTTAGATGATGGTATGTCCCTGCCCACTAACAGAGCCATGGTCAAGGAATTCAGAGAGGGTGCTCAGGATCCCAGGGGCGCAACAATTACATCAAGATTGTGAGCACTGTAGACCCCCTGCAGGCACGCGTGCACACACACACACACACACACACACACACACACACACACAATGAAATCTACAAGGTCAGCCAGCTTCTTACAGTCAGGTAGCTCTCTGGAAAGGAACTTCATGGGTGAGGGATTTCTTCCCTATTATGCACCAGACTAGTAGAAAGAAGTGTGGAAACTCTCCAGGCCAATGTCTCTCATTCAGCTTGTAGTCAGCCCCACCTCCACTCTCCCTTTCCAGCTCTCTGTCCACCTGCCCATGGTGACCAAGGCCTGGTCAAGATGCTAAACTTCAAACAAGGCCTGTATTGTTTCCCACTTAAATTCCCATCCGTAGGAATGTATCATAAATTGGGTGCAGCCATATGGTAGAATACAATTCACTCATTAAAAAGTACAAAGAAGTTCTTTCTATATTGATATGACATCTCTAAAGGTGGAGGAAAGGGGGAGGAGTTTGATGACTTTCTAATTGAGTCAACTCTTCCTAGTTGAGGGGGTTTAGTTTGTATTTAAGAATAATGACTCTGGCTGGGAATGTGGCTCAGTGGTAGAGTGCTTGCCTAGCATTCATGAAGCCCTGGGTTCAATTCCTCAGTACTATATAAACAGAAAAAGCTGGAAGTGGCGCTGTGGCTCAAGTAGTAGAACCTTGAGCAAAAGAAGCTCAGGGACAGTGCTCAGGCCCTGAGTTCAAGCCTCAGAACTGGCAAAATAATAATAATAATAACAACTCCACAGGAATGGCGGGAGAAAGGGTAAGCAAATGTAGTCATTATACTCAATGCACATTATGTAAAATATGAACTGCATAACTTGAGAATAGAAACAGGAGAGGAAAGATTGTTGAAATGAAAAAAAATGTAACATTGCCCAAGAAGCATTGTACTCATACCCTGACTTATAGAATTGTAAGCCCTTATACAACTACTTAATAATAAAAAATAGAATATTGTCTTGATACTGTTAAAAAATAAAAAAAAGAATACTATACGAAGCCTGTAATAAGAGCTTAATCAGCCATAATTGATTTCACACAAACTAGCCAATGACTGAATCTATGGGACAAAAGGAACACTAAACAGCCCAAGCTGGTACCTTTCTCAGTGAGCTATTAGTGAATATGGCAGTGTTCTGGCCTTCAGAACACATGGAATTTACAGTCCACAGGCAACATACCAGCCTGTGGTCCTAGGCTCTCCACATGGAGATGGGACAGTCCCCTAGACACACACACCACAGCCTGTGCTAGGATGCACCTTCTCTTCAGACTCCTACACCTCCTCTCCACCACCTCCTAGACGTTCACAGGCTGCACCAAGCCTCAAAGATACGAGCCAATGGTCCAAGGGCCCCTGGCCACCCCACAGAAGGCCCATAACACATTCCCACACTCCTTACCCCAGCACAGTAATCTCCACTGATGGTGACCCGCTGATACTCAGGCATAGCGTAGGGCGCTGGTGTGATCTGGGAAGTGGCTCCGGGGACAGGGGCAGCAGGAGACAGGGCCGGGCTGGCCACTGGGGGACCCTTCCAGTCTTGCTGCACCGGCATTTGCAGAGACAGGGACTGAGACCGGATCATTTTGAAACTTTTCTTTCTAAGAGCCAAGGACAAGGAACAGTGGGAGACATCAGTAGTGAATAGGAGAGGCAAGTGGTGACGGAGTCCACAAGGTACATGGTACCCATGCTTAATCACTGCTGCTGGCCAGAGACCACTAAGCAGTTTCTAATTACATATACCTTCTTCTTACCCATGTCTCTGCATGAGACACAACATAGCACTCCAGACACACGCACTGCAGTCACTAGGATCTGCTGTGGGCTGTTTGCAAGTTATGTGGCACATTAAACAGGTGCCAGCAGACACAGAACACACTGCAGGGGCTCCAACAGCTCACAGAAGTAAGATGGCACCAAGCCACGTTATCATTGAGGGGTGGGCAGCCTTCTGTCTTCAATAACCCAAACTCAGTGCCTGACATATGAGCCAACATAGGAATGTGACCCAAGAGGGTCACAGAGACAACTACACTGTATTTCAGAGAGTCAGGAACCTGGAGCACTAGAATGAGAAGAGACGGGTCCAACCTTCCCATTTTACAATTAGGTATCAGAGACTGGGAGTTGGGGCCCTAAGAAATGAAAAGGCCATTCTGCAGAGCCACAGGGCAGTAGATGCTGCGCCTTCCCCAAGCCCCATGTTGCCACCCAGGCAGCAGCAGCTGGCATGGGACAGATCTGTATCCCTGTTACAGGAAAGGGCTGCTCAGCATCAGTCTCAGGCCTGGACTCTGGGCCTGTCACCCTGGCACACCAGAAGATGATTTCATTCCTGCTAGGGCTCAAGGCTGCAAGCTCATGCTAACTTGCAAATTGATTTGTGATGACTTTGTCTTCCTCACTAACAAAACAGTAATGCTTCAAATGATGTCACGCCAAGTCCTGGAGTCCCCAGGAAGGAAATTCCTCAGCACTAGGCGTGGCCACCAGCAGCCCTTCTGGACTCTTTCTGCCTCCTGGGGAATCCTGCTTCCAGATGGTTAAGTCCAGTGCCAGAACCTGGCTGGCTCCTCGCCCTACCTTGTGCCACAGGGGCCAGTAGCCTCCCAGGTATTTATTTGACCACTGCCAGCCTCCAGCAAAGGACCCAATGATAGCCATGAGCCACCAGAACCCATTGAACTGCACATCCCTTCTCCAGGTCCTGATGACACTTACAGGATGAGGAACAATCCACCCATCCTCAGATGGACCTCAGGCCTCATGTTCATCCAGAAGTATCTGGCTTCCTGTCAGCTCTGCCCAGCTCTCCTCACTGCTTTAGGAACCATGGGTTAGCTCTCCTGTTCTCCCCTCTTGCTATGACCCTCTGGCTCTTACCTGCCGAAGGCAAAGACTGTGTTACTATCTTTTTAGGACAAGGCTGCTTTTTTTTTTTTTTGGTTATGGGACTTGAACCCTGGGCTTGGGCACTGTTCCTGTGCTCCTCAGCTCAAGGCAAGCACTCTACTGCTTGAACCACAGCGCCACTTCTGGTTCTTCTAGTGGTTTATTGGAGATAAGAGTCTCACAGACTTTCCTCCCTGGGCTGGCTATGACCTGTGATCCTCAAATCTCAGCCTCCTAAGTAGCTGGGATTATAGGCGTGAACCACGGGCCCAGCCGGCTGTTTACTTTTACAAGATGGAAACTGCCTCTCCTTAGGAGTTTTTCTTTGTCCCAGCCTTGCACAAAAGGCTGCTTCAGGAAACGACTAGCACTCCTGGAGTCCCCAGCCCAGGCCTTCCCTGGCCTGCCATCTATCAACTGGAGCTGGGTCAGCATTCTGACCTAAGGAAGATATCAGCACAGCCAATCATTCCTCAGCAGCAGATCCACTCCAGAGCCTGAACTTCTGTTGCATCTTTTGGCCAATCATGCCTAAAAAGGAGCCATGGATTTGGGCTTCCTTGTATCCTCTGACAGGCTCAGCTGGGTCCCATGGGACTCAAGGTTTCTGTCACTGTCATATCTGTCAGTCACTGTTTTTATCTCTAGGCAACTTCATCCCATGATGCCTAAATTCTCGTCCTACTAAGGCCAAGCAACAAGTGATTTTTCAGGTGAGCAACAAGTAAGGTTAAAACAACAACAACAACAAACCACACACACCCACAGGCTAAAGCTGGAGGGCTGCCTATGTCAAGGGCCTCTGAGGCTTGTCCTAGAATGTGGACACATCTACCCCATCGAGGAAGCCAGTTCACCAGCTGCTGCCCAGAGAGCTCTCCTTACAAATACTCCTTATGACTCCAGCCTTGGTTTTCAGTTCTAGCTCCAGATTGTTACGTACAAATGTCCTTAGGCTAGGAGCTCAGACTTTCAGGCCCTGGGACATGGTGAACAACCCCATACCACCTCCTCAGGGCCAGTCACCTCATGCAGAGACTACAATCACAGAAGCCAAACGGAACCTGCATATCAAAAAGTAGGAAAAGCTATCATCTATTGCTGCATCAAATTGCAACCAATTTAGTAGCTTTAAACAGCAGCCATTTATTAGTTCATGGTTCAAAGGTGAGAAACCCGGCAGGCTCTGCTGCCTCTGTGTTTATAGCATCAAAAGTCAAGAGGAAGGTGTTGGCAACACTGTGCTCCTGTCTGGAAACTGGGGAAGAATCTGATCCCAAGCTTTCATTCATGTTGTTGGCAAAATCAGCCTCATGTGGCTGAACAATTGGGTCCCTGGCTCCCCGCTGGCTGTTGGTCAGCAGTCACCATACCTCCTAAAGGTATGCAAACAGCCCTCCATCTTCTAAACAAGGAGCGCTGTGTTCTGAGACCTCCAATTTCTGACCTCCTCTCTGCTGTCTTGTATAATAGATCAGAACTGTACATAGATCTTCTTCTCTTAAGGTGTCAGGGTCCTCCTTCCTCCTCCACAGTAATGCTGAGTAACAGCTCAGTGAGGACAGGGGCATTTTAAAAATAGGACCTGTATCTAGTGTCCACTCGATACTACAGAGGTAGAGAAAGGTAGCTAAGTGTGAGTGTGTACCCACATGTGTCCCCACATGTGTCCCCCTTCCCCTCCCCCATGTCACAGGTGCCGGCTCACACCTGTAATTCTATCTACTCAGAAGGCTGAGATCTGAGGATTGAGGTTCAAAGCCAGACCAGGCAGGAAAGTCCGTGAGATTCTTATCTTCAATTAACCACCAGAAAACCAGAAGCAGAACTGTGGCTCAAAGTGGTAGAGTACTAGCTTTGAGCAAAAGAGCTCTGGGACAGTGCCCAGGCCTTGAGTTCAAGCCTCACAACTGACAGAAAAAAAAAAATTACCATAAACTTGAAGGGATGGATGGGTTTAGAGAGATGAGGAAGAATGATGGGGGAGGGGTGACATTGATCAAAATGCATGGTATTCATAATCTGACATGTTGACTTGAAATCCCTTTGTAAACTAACAATATTTTTTAAATGCCATAAGCTCTTTGGAATTATAGAACTATGAGGTCTCCTAGATGGGAAAGGCTATACCCCAACCTTCTCCCTACACTACAGCAACCTTTGCTTGGGTGTGTGACAGACTTCGATTCCCAAATAAGACATCAGTACTCATTTGCTTATTCAGTAGGTAACAAAGCATATACTCAGCACTTGGCCAAAGTTAAACACAACACACAATCTTTAGAAAGCAATCCCTCATAATAGGTTATCTGCCTTTGTCTGGTCCCACCTGTCAGACCTTGTGCTAGCCCCTGAGATACCAGGGAAAGCCAGTTCATCCTACAACAGCTGGCCCACCCCCGCCTTCCTCCAGCCACCTGGCAGAATAGCACTGATGCCAAGGAGCTGTCAGGGTGTGGGCTGCCAGGAGAACAGCTCCAGGCCAAGCTGGAAGCAGATCTGCCAGCGGCCTCCAGTCATCCCCCAGATAGCTGGTCCTCCAGGGCCACAGGGACCTTCCTGCTTGCTGACCAGGCCTTCAAGACAAGGCAGTGATGACGGTTATCATGGCATCTCATCTTCTGTCACTGGTACAGTATCTCTGCCTGCCCTATCCACCCCCACCCCCAGAACCTTGCTATAACACCCGATTCTTATGCTAAATAAACTCTGGGAGTCTGTTGCTCTTCCTCCTAGAGAATAGCATCCATCTTCTCAGGGGCCTTCCAAAGCCCTATCTGTGAGTCTGTCTAGGGTGAGTCAGCCAGGCAAGGAGAGACACTAGCAGGAACCTTCAACCAAGCTTTCAGAAGTGTGAACAACAGGGGAGGGGGGAGGGTTATACATGGACCCTGCCCCTTCATTCCATAACCCCTCAGGGACTAAGCCCTAGGAAAACAGGTAGCTCAAACTTAACCTGTGACTCAGGGGCTCCTGCTGTGATGATGGCAGAGCGAGACCCACACAGTTCAACAGACCTGTCAACACACAGTGCGGTCTGTGTAATAATATGCCCAGGATATTTTGGGATCCCAGAGGGACACCTAATCCAGACTAGGGGTGGGAACAATGAAGCCACATGGGGGGGATCAGGAGGGGAAATTTCAGAACAGGAAATATCCTGTTTGAACCCCTGCTCCCAGCTGGGGTGGGTGGGAGGTATGGAGAAGAGTCATTCTGGCAGCCCCTCTACTTCAGCTGAGGAGCAGCAGGGGGGTTGTTAACATGCCACTGAATGCCACTCCCAAGGCCCACCACTATTATTGTTTCTAAGGTCACTGTCTAGATTTACATGGAACTGGGACCCCTGGCTCAAGGAGAGTAGCTGGAGAGCTGGCACCTGCTGTTTAACTCTGGACAGAGGGTCATGCCTTTCAGGAAAGAAAGTAGAAACAGCTGACCAGGATGCATGCTGCACACTGGACACTGCAGGGGGGGAATCTAACAGTAGGGGACTTGTGGGGGGGAAGGAGGGAGGGGAGGAAGGGGCACTGAGACCCCATAGTCAGCAGTCATGGTCGGGTCACCAGTAGCCTGACCAGTAGGGTGTAACTTTAATTGGCACACCTTGAAATCCATCGAGTGAAAAAGACCACAACCATAGCCTCTTCTCCCTTAGCAATAATAATCAAACGACTTAATAATGTTACAGCTGTGTTATATTCAA